GGGGGGGGGGGCGAGCTTTTCGGGCGTCCAAGAAAGTACGAACTTCCGCGAAACGCCGACCGAATCTTAAGCGATTTTCATTCTTCTTCTTCTTAAATACCCTTTTAACACTTTATGTTAGTTAGTAACCCTTTAAACTCCATCGACTCCATCGGGATTAACGTCCCGAGCAAGCAGGTACGGATTAAACCGAGAGATCGGCCGAGCTTTGGGAAGATAATCGGTCGGTGCGATGGCGCGTTGCCTCGGAGAACCGTGCGATCGGATCGAGCGAGATCGTCTGACCGGAAGTGGTCGCCTACGCGAGCGATTCGTCGGTGATAAGTTGGCGCCGGGGTGAGGGCCCCAAATACACACACACACACACACGTGTGGCTTGCTCGTCACCGATACGAAGCGGGGTCCAGCAGCTCGCCCACCGCTGCGCGTTTTGTAAATCGAAAAGTCGATTTCGGAATTGCTCGTTACCGCCTACGTTGGCCAGCGTTTTCGCTGGTTACCGAAACAACGTCCGGCTTCGCCCACGTTCCACGATGGCCATCGGCCTCGCAAGGGCGTCATCCGAACTCCTGTATCTGCAACGAGGCTAAATCCACCGATGAACTTGCTTAGAAACAAGATGATTGTACTAACAGAACGTGGAATGTCGGTTAGACCGAAAAAGAGATGGATGAAGAGACCGAAAAAGAAAAACAACAAGAATGTATATAGTGTTAACAATTTCGCATTTCCGAATGGGAACAGGCGAATGTCAACGAGTCGATTCTATTGACAGTCTGCCGTTGGTCACGCTGGATTATGGAAACAAGACTCGCGACACCGACAGACGAACGTCGTTCTTCTCGCTGACAAATCGTTCCGATTGTCGCGCCCACTTATCCGCTTATTACACCGGGCCTCAGACCCGTGGGACTGATCGATGCAACGACACGGTTAGCGTCTAACGAACCGCTGCTCCCATCCACCTTCTCGTTCTGCAGCCCGATAATCCGGCCTCCGATCGAGTGTTAAGCCCGACCTGTTGAAAATACGACGACACTCGGACTCGGGAGAGATCCTCGTCGGTGTCGAACTCACGTTGGCTTTGGCTAAATCTATTCGAGGTCGGCGAACGTGTATCGCTCGTTTCGGCACGATGATCCAGCCAAGTCAAAAAACGAGAGACAGAGCTTACGTCAGATTTATAGCCGGTCGATCGTTTCGCCTGCTTCCACGAACAGATGGAAAAGGAAATCGAAGAGATGCCGAAGAAATCCCAGCAATCGCAATTTACCGAGGAAATATACGCGTAATACCGAAGGCAGTCGGTTCAGACTGCCTCGGTTAATTAAAACAATGCCGTGGATTACAGAACTTGCGCAAACAAGTAACTCGGTTCGCGCGAAAACCACTGCCACTTCCGCCCGTGCGTTTAACGCACACGCACAATTTACCGAGGCATTTCACTCCGTAATTGCGTTAAACCGTAACCATACTAAGGCAATTAACTAATCCCTAATGTTGGCACAAGAATGTTACAACATTCTCGAGCTCTGAGTCACGTTTAGGTCTGGTCTTAATGTTTCCTTTGGACCTTCTTCCGACAATTTTCGAAAATATGTTTGCCAGATCAAAGACTCCGAAACACTCGCGTAGAGCTCAAGACGAGTTCGCGAGCTTGTTCTTCGATATTATCGAACACACCTTCAAAATATTTTAGAACCAGTTGTCAAGTGGCAAATGTGATTGGCTGGGACGAACTGGCCAGTTCGTACAAAACAGGCTCGCAGGTGGCCAAGCGTTAGAATCTCTCGGAATCTCAGTTTGCAATTAACCATCAAAGTAGAATCTCGAAAGTTTTCATCAAAGCGAGTCGCAAAGTAAAATCTCCGTCGTTGAGTAAAAAGTAGTCTCGTTGATAAGGTGAAGTTTTATCACATCACGATTAAACAAGACTAGAATATTCTATTATTAACATCTTATTTATGAATAGCACCACTTGGCGTCAAATTGAATATTATTGTTAAGTGTCATATGAATGTCATGTGCAGTACCGCTATAATTGCAATTAAGATTTTAGTGATAGAGCAAAAGCGAGCCTAATATCTATTATTGTAACTTTAAAATTTTTTAAATATGGCATCAAAAAAGTAGAATATAAACAACAGTTACAAAGGATGTAGAAACTAAGTTTTTATAAAAAATTAACATGTATGTTTTTTCCCCATCAACGTTATGATCTCGTCGATAAAGTGATAAGTTAAATCATCATTTCCGAATATTCAACAATATTCGACTTCGTACTAGTAGTATGTACAAGGTGGAAAGAAAAAATTGGTTATTATAGATGAATTCTACACCTGCAATTTGATGAAAATACATGTAAAACTGATCGCAAAATTGATCTTGAGCTTGAATTTCAAGATTAAAAAATGTTTTTTCTTGCGTTGTATTCTTCTCATCACGAAGGTAAAATTTTTCTTGCGTTCTAACAGCGACTTTATGGTTCTGCACGCACTGATGTAATGAATGTATATTTCGAATAATGTTAACAGTTAGTTTCATTATATAATTATTTCGACCCACACTTATTTAGGCTACAACTATGATGAATCAAACGTTAGTAAATCCTAATCCAGAATCATAAAGTCGCTGTTAGCACTTTAAATGATTAAGAAACTATTTTGCCATTTCTCAAGAGAAACTATTAGGTTGCGAGCTATGGTTCCTCGCAAAAAATTTTTTATCTTCGTGATTAGTAGAATACAATGCAAAAAAAATTTTTTTTTTGAAATTCAAGCTCAAGGTCAATTTTGTGATTCAAATTTTTCACATATATTTCTATCAAATCGAAGGTATAAAATTCATCCATGACAGCCATGGGCAAACTTTTCTTTCCACCCTGTACACGTAGTCACGAGTACGTGACACCTAATAACTAACATCCAACACTAACTTTACCAGAAAACCGAGAGATCATCACTTTCAGTACCGAGCTAAATTGCTTACACGCGTCAATCATTTGATTCACAAATGATAATCGCACGCTCGATCGATTTTGTCAATTGAGATAACCGATTTCCGTCAGATGTGACGGTCGGTTTTTGCCACCGTGCGTTTGCTCGAGGTCGTTCTATAAATTTTCTAACGCAATGTCAGAGTCTGAAATGGCGGTGAATGCCGCCACGTTGCTTCTTACTCGTCGATCATTACCGCGTGTTGAGAATGTTAACGAGAATGTTTCGCACGAGGTTTTGCCCCCTCGGTGGCCGGTCACGATTTTCGCCGCTATTTCCCACCGGTTTAATCCGGGCGAATTCCCTAACTACGCTTTGTTGAAGTCGACTTCAACGGGCCACGCGGGAAATGTTTCAAATGTTACATCAATTGATTCCCCTGGTGGGCGAAACTCGGGCTTTGGCAATCGTCGAAGACACTCGAGCAGCTAACTCGACGACTCTTTCGTATTGAAATGTATTGAAATTTTATGCGCAGCCGATGGATGAGTTCAAGTTGTTGCGAGATTTTACAACACGGTTGCCGAGGACGAGCGAGAC